GGAGGAGGAGGAGGAGGAGGAGGAGGAGGAGGAGGAGGAGGAAGAGGAGGAGGAGGAGGAGGAGGAGGAGGAGGAGGAGGAGGAGGAGGAGGATGATTGACCAGATGGGGGGAGGTCTCCCTGCACCTCCTCGCCTACCCTTTTGCTACAGGGGCGCGGGGCGCGCCCGCCCCGCTGGGCGGCTGCCCCGCCCAGCGCCAGTCCCCCTCCCCCCCCTCGCGGGGACGGCGGCAGCAGGGGGCGCGCCCGTCCACGGCCCGCCAGCGCTGGTGGCTGAGCCCTTGTGGGGCTGGCGCGCCGCCCCGAAGGGGCCGCGGCGCCGCGGCCCCCGTCTCTTCGCCACGAGGCGAGCGGATCCCGAGCGGTTTCCTTCGTTTTTGGCCTCCTGGTTCCCTGCAGGGGCTGTTCGACAACGGCACGGGGAGGACATCTTGCCCGGGGGGGGGGGAAGTTGGGGAGTCCAGGACCCGCTTCCTTTGGGGCCCGCTTGCCTCACATAAAGCCTCGCGATGAGCGGGTCGCGGGCTCCACCGGGCGCGGAGCGGGCGCGGGCGGCGAAGGACCTTCAGATCTTGGGTGTCGCCGGGCAGAAATCGGGGTGTTTTTTTTTTCTCTTAGTTCTCGGCGTCTGGAGGGCGTTGCCCGCGCTTGGGGCAGGCAAGAAACGGTTCAGGATGAGAAAACGGCCCTGGGGAAGCGGTCGCAACACTGGGGGGCCCATGTTGTGAAAAGGGGGATTGGGGAGATCGCCGTCGTCGGCGTCGTCGTGTCGTTGGCTTGCGGAGGCTCTCGGGCGGTTTCGGGGGGTTCTCGTCGCTGCGGCTTGACGTGGCTCTCGAATCTGGCCAGCGCCGTCGTCCTTGTCGTCGTTTCGGCCCCACCCAAACCCCGTACCTTCTCAGAAGGCCGCCCCCTTCTCGCCGCCTCTGCCGTTTTGTCCTTTTGTCCTTCGGCCAGAGGTGGCTCGTTCTGTGCGGTGAGGTTGGCTGGGTGGCTTGCCGTGGCCAGTCCCCTCAACTCCATATCCGAGGCTCTCCCGCCCCCCGACCTGAACGGGTAGCGTTTGATCCGGACGCTGTCTCATCGCCTGGCTGGCCCTCTTTCCGCCCCATGCCCCGCCCAGGAGAGCAGGCTGGCCACCCGCGCCTTTCTCCAGGCGGCGACGAGGGGCGACTGCAAGACCATGCGGCTGATCGCCCGCGAAACTGGCGCGGACCTGCACGGCCCCCTCGCGCGCGACGCCCACGGCAACGACCCAGAGCAGCTGCTGCTTCGGGCCAGTGGCCACCTGACCCCTGCGCAGGTCAAAGCCGCGAGGCGGGAGGTCAGGGAGCTGCCGCGGATGCTCGCCGCGGCGGAGGCGGCCAAGTCCAAGGCTTCGGGCCCGGTGCCAGCCGGCGGCCTGGGTGGCACCATGCTCTCTATGCGCACGCAGTCCGCAGCCAGCTTGCAGCCAGCCATCTCGCTGGTGCAGAGCGGCTTATTCGCTGACAAGCGGGACACGGTTCTCTCCGCGCCGGGCCCCATGGACCCACAGCCGAGTGCCGGCGCCGACGTGACGGCGGGGCAGGCAGCGGGCCGCAATCTGCGGGCCCGCGAGCAGCGCATGCACTCGACGTTTGCATCCTTGGCGAACGCGGTGGTAGGTGAGCGGGCGCGCGACGCGATCTGTGCTAGCGCGGTGGACAGTAGGAGGTTGCTACGCAGCGTGCCCTCGGACATGTCCAGGTCGATGCCTAGCCTGGCGGAGGCGCTGCGCAGCGAGGAGCTGGCCGTGACCGCGGTGTCCCGGAGGCCGGATCTGCTGCAGCTGGAGGGCACGCGCTTCAAGAGGCTGGTGCCGACGCTGACTTCCATCTTCGGCGGAAAGGAGGCCGCGCCCGACGTGGCCTACGCGGTCTCTGCTCGGCCCGAGCTCCTAGAGGTCGAGCACGCCCAGGGCCTCTTGGACTCGTTCAAACTACTCTGCGACTGTGTGGACGGAGTGGCCGACGCGAGGTTCATGGTGCTGCAGACTCTCGCGCCCGCGTCCGTGGTGGTGAAGGCGCGGAGCTGGAGCCGCGAAGAGTTCGTCGGCGAGTACCACCGGATCCCTGGAGGGCGCGCGTGGGACAGGCCGGTGTACATGAAGCCAGCGTCTTCCATGGCTCACCTCGGCTACGGCAGGGACATGTACCTCGTGTTCTACGGAGGTCGCAACCCAGGGACAGGCGAGGTCGACGGCAGGTGGGAGACGTAAACGAGGATGGACCCCCCCAAAATATAAATCTGGTTCATACTGTTCTGGGAAAGTAGACAGGGGTTCATAGTGTTCCCCCTGGAATACTCGGGGTTTGCAATTTTCCTGGAATACTCACTGGGGTTCATCATGTGCCCCCAGCATATTATAGACTCGGGTTTATAATGCCCTGGGGGGAATATTCTCGGAACCCCAGAATGATGAGTTCGGGTCTATCATTCGGGAGTGCTCATGTTTAGTTTCCCCCAACCCCCTGGGCTCCAGAATTGGATTCGTTATCTTCGATTGTTGACCCCGTTTTATCATGTCCTGAATATTTATGAACTGGGGTTCATACAACGTTCTGGGAATAACGCACCTAGGTGTTATATTCCGAAATGATAATAATGGCACCTGGGGGGCGTCGCTGGATCTGTAGCTGGAAATCATGATTCTGGATTTATCTTTCAGGACTGATCGTAATCATTATTATCCTCCCAGCCTTATGTTCGAATATGGATATCGTGCGTTTTTCCTGAAACTTATTGACTTGGGCTGATAATATTCTGGGAATGATGAGCTCGTGTGCGTTATTCCGGAATGATGTAAGTGGAGCGGGGGGACGCCTGCGAAGAGGGTCTGGCTTTGGTACAACCTTGGTTCATTGTGTCGGAATGTGGATCACGGGTCCATTATTCCAGAATGATAATGCGGCGGGGGGGGGGTTGATTCATCTGCAGGACACCAATCCACAGGGCGTTATCCTCTCAAGATAATGAACCAAGGTTTATCATCCCTTGATGATGAACACGGTCGACGAGGATTACGGGGGTGTCCTCACCTAAGCGGATGGATCCTTTGCGGGTGTTATGCTTGGGCCTTCAGTTGCCATCGTGAGGTCGCGCGTGAGCGCCGCTCGGTTTGCCTCGCTGGCGGCCCGCCCAAACCACCGCGTAAGGTCGCTCTGTCGTTTCGCATAGGACCTTTTACCTTTCGTCGCTCAGGTGGTTGCTCACGCCCTTCTTCGGTGGCTCCAGCGCTTCGTCGCCTGCCGTGACCCCCGCCACGCCGGCGGGGGTGTCGTCGGAACGCAGCGAGGCGCTCGCCTTCGCGCCCGAGAGCCTGAGCACCCCCGACCAGTTGTCGGCAACATGGAGCTTCAAGGAAATTGACAGCGGGCCGAAGGAGAAACCGAGCTGCCCGTCCCGCTGGGATCCGGACGCCTACGTCAATGTTGTGGACAGCGGCAGGCCCAGGCTGCGCTCTCTGCTGTCGGTGCCAGCGCAGGAGATGCGTCGCCGCCGCCGTCGCCGCCGCCGCAGCCCTTGGTCGCCATCGCCGTCGCTGGAGGCGGCCGCCGCCCTCGCCGTTGGCCGCCGCCGTCGCCACTGCTTTCTGCCGCCGATGCCGCCGCCGGAGATCTCTTGCGAGGGCGAGGCCAGTGGGGCGGTCTACCGGCAAGGCAAGAGGGCTTCCTGGAATCCCTCCCGCCTCTTACGGAGCCCCTTACCCCCCGTGCCCTTCTGAGACGGCCGCCACGCTCGCCTGGGCCCCGACCTAGTCCCGCTCGGAAGCTGGCCGCTCGCAGCGCTTTCGAGCTGCGTCCAGCCGACGAGGGGGGGCGCCCCGAAAAGGAAAGAGCGGGGAGGGACAAATTGTACCAATGAGATGTTGCCGTTGGTAGCCCGTCAGCGAGTTACTCTTTTTACCTAACAGCGAAGACTGATAGGTTTCTAATAGGGTAAAAAGAGAGCAGCACATTACTCCACAGGGGGGTCTGGGCAGCCGTTGGGGAGGTGTTGGGGGGCCGTTGGGGTTTGGTTGGGGGGCCGTTGGGGTTTGCCGGGGGGGATCGTTTTTCGCATACAGTCACACACTTCGTGCTTTTCGATTTCCCAGAACTCCATTCCCGGGCCACATTTTGGATGCCCGGAGCCAACTGTACGCCACTTTTTTTTTTTTTGTTTTTTTTTTTTTTTTCGTGTTTCGTGCTCTTCTGACCTTCCCAGAACTCCATTCCCGCGGCCACATTTTGAATGCCGGAGCCAACTGTAGCCACTTCGTGCTCTTCGAGTTCCCAGAACTCCATTCCCGGGCACATTCTGGAGGGCCGGATGCAACAGTCACACACTTCGTGCTCTTCGAGTTCCCAGAATTCCATTCCCGGGCCACATTTTGGATGCCCGGAGCCAACTGTAGGCCACTTCCTGGTCTTCGAGTTCCCAGAACTCCATTCCGGGCCACACTGGGCGCCTGAGGGCAGGGCTGCAGGCTGATGCTTGAGGCTGAGCCAGGCTTGGGCTGAAGGCAGATCTGGAAGTTGAGAACGAGGCTGAGGCTGAGGCTGAGGCAGGCTGATGCTGAGGCTGATGCAGGCTGATGCTGAGGCAGGCTGAGGCTGAGGCTGAGGCTGATGCAGGCTGAGGCTGAGGCAGGCTGAGGCTGAGGCCGAGGGTGAAGGCAGACTGAGGCTGAGGCTGAAGCAGGCTGAGGCTGAGGCTGAGGCAGGCTGAGGCTGAGGCAGGCTGAGGCTGAGGCTGAGGCAGGCTGAGGCTGAGGCTGAGGCTGAGGCTGAGGCTGAGGCTGAGGCTGAGGCTGAGGCAGGCTGATGCTGATGCTGAGGCTGAGGCTGATGCAGGCTGAGGCTGAGGCAGGCTGAGGCCGAGGCTGAAGGCAGACTGATGTTGAGGCTGAAGCAGGCTCTGAGGCTGATGCAGGCTGAGGCTGAGGCAGGCTGAGGCCGAGGCTGAAGGCAGACTGAGGCTGAGGCTGAAGAGGCTGAGGCTGAGGCTGAGGCAGGCTGAGGCTGAGGCTGAGGCAGGCTGATGCTGAGGCAGGCTGAGGCTGAGGCTGAGGCTGATGCAGGCTGAGGCTGAGGCAGGCTGAGGCCGAGGCTGAAGGCAGACTGATGTTGAGGCTGAAGCAGGCTGAGGGCGAGGCTGAGGCAGGCTGAGGCTGATGCAGGCTGAGGGTGAGGCTGAGGCAGGCTGAGGCCGAGGCTGAAGGCAGACTGATGTTGAGGCTGAAGCAGGCTGAGGGCGAGGCTGAGGCAGGCTGAGGCTGAGGCAGGCTGAGGCTGAGGCTGAGGCAGGCTGAGGCTGAGGCTGTGACTGCGACTGCTGTTGCCACTGCGACTGCCATCGCGAATGCGACCACGACTGCGAGAACAGCAGAATTCTACAACAGGATTCTTATCTGAATCTTAAGGGGAATGCTTCCAGATATGCTCCTACACATCGCTGTTAGGTTGCTTTGCCGGGATAATTTAAACAGTAACACGCGGATGGGTCCCCCCCCGCCGAGTGTCATTGATATTGTTTTCGCTTCCAAAAGTAGGAAAGAAGGAGAGAGAGAGAGAGAGAGAGAAAGACACACACACACACATATATATATATATGTATATTGAATCGCTTCGCTCATTCCGCCGGCGCATTTCGCATGACTGAGCCTCTTGGGGCCGCTGGGGGCCTCTTCAGCGTCGCTTGGGGGCCTCTTGGGGGCTTTTGGGGCCTCTCAGGGGCCTCTTGAGGCCTCCTGGGGGCTTCTTAAGGCCGAGGGCTCGAAGTTTTGTTTTGTGTTCCCCCTTTGGGGCATCGCTTGGGGCCCTCTTGGGCCCCTCTTGGGCCGTCTTGGATGCCTCTGGGGCCGTCTTGGAGCCCTCTTGGGCCATCTTGGGGCCTTCTTGGGAGCTTCTTGGGCCCTCTTGGGGCGATCTTGGGGGCCTCTTGGGCCGTCTTGGGGCGTCGGGAAGCCGAAAAGATGGACACGCCAAAATCTGCCCAAAACCTAAGGAAAAGTAATGAATTTTGCCTCTTGGGGCCCTCTGGGGAGTGCTCTTGGAGGCCTCTTGGGGCGTCTGGGGGCCATCTTGGGCGTCTTGGAACGATCGTGTGGCATCTCGGAGCACTCTTGAACCATCTTGGAGGGCTCTTGGCGGCCTCGTGGCCCTTCTTGGGGCTCTCTGGAGGGCCACGGGGGCGGCGCCCAGGAGGAAAACCATCTCTGACCCGAGTCTGCCGGGGATCGCCCAGGGTACTTTTCGTCCGGGGACCCCCAGGGGCCGCCCCGCGCGCGCGAAGTAGAAGTATTATTTAGCAGTTACCGGAGATCTTAGCACGCCTCTGGCCCGTTGGGCCGGCGAATCTCTCTCTCTCTCTCTCTCTCTCTCTCTCTCTCTCTCTCTCTCTATATATATATATATATATATATATATATATATATATATCCGTAAGGGCTTCGCCCCCTGCCGCCGGCCCCCTCTCTCGGAGAATGGGCCATGGAAGAGCTAAGTCATGAGGCTTTGGCGCTGTCGTGCAGCAGTATCGGAACTTCATGCGAGGCCGATTCGCAATCGGCAAAACCAACTGATCACAAGAGGGGTTACCACACAGGGCGATTGGTAAGACGTGTATGGTTTACGAGCTTGGTTACCACACCTTGGGATTAAAGGGCCGAGGGAGTACTCGCAGTTTGGGTTACCACGCCTTGCGATGGATGTCCGTGAGGGGTGGCACCGAATTTCAGAAATGTGGCAAATCCCCTGTGTTTTTGGACCCTGACCCCGCGGATCTGCGTGAGGGGTGGCACTGAATTTCAGAAATGTGGCAAATCCCCTGTGTTTTTGGACCCTGACCCCGCGGATCTGCGTGAGGGGTGGCACCGAATTTCAGAAATGTGGCAAATCCCTTGCGTTTTTGGACCCTGACACCGCGGATCTGCATGAGGGGTGGCACCGAATTTCAGAAATGTGGCAAATCCCATGTGTTTTTGGACCCTGACCCCGCGGATCTGCGTGAGGGGTGGCACCGAATTTTAGAAATGTGGCAAATCCCTTGTGTTTTTGGACCCTGACCCCGCGGATCTGCGTGAGGGGTTGCACCGAATTTCAGAAATGTGGCAAATCCACTGTGTTTTTGGACCCTGACCCCGCGGATCTGCGTGAGGGGTGGCACCGAATTTGAGAAATGTAGCAAATCCCATGTGTTTTTGGACCCTGACCCCGCGGATCTGCATGAGGGGTGTCACCGAATTTCAGAAATGTGGCAAATCCCCTGTGTTTTTGGACCCTGACCCCGCGGATCTGCGTGAGGGGTGGCACCGAATTTCAGAAATGTGGCAAATCCCATGTGTTTTTGGACCCTGACCCCGCGGATCTGCGTGAGGGGTGTCACCGAATTTCAGAAATGTGGCAAATCCCATGTGTTTTTGGACCCTGACACCGCGGATCTGCGTGAGGGGTGGCACCGAATTTCAGAAATGTGGCAAATCCCATGTGTTTTTGGACCCTGACCCCGCGGATCTGCGTGAGGGGTGGCACCGAATTTCAGAAATGTGGCAAATCCCTTGTGTTTTTGGACCCTGACCCCGCGGATCTGCGTGAGGGGTGGCACCGAATTTCAGAAATGTGGCAAATCCCTGCGTTTTTGGACCCTGACCCCGCGGATCTGCGTGAGGGGTGTCGATTTCGAGCCCCCCCAGCAATTCAGACAACGCGCCCAGGGGGTGCTAAAAGTTCCGTTCCCTCGCGCGGTCAATCAACTAGTTACAGTAACCAGCAAGAAGCAGAACTGTAACACTGGAAACTACAAGCTACAACTGATACTGGAAACTGCGAACCCGCGCCTACAGCCTGGTGGCCCCACAAGGGGGCCGGCGGATATATAGAGAGAAAGAGAGAGAGAGAGAGAGAGAGAGAGAGAGAGAGAGAGAAAGAGAGAGAGAGAGAGCGAGGGCGACCCGTCGCAGGAGATACGCGAGTGCTTCGATCAGATAAAGGAGGCTCTCTGCTTCTGCTGGCGCGCTGCCGGCCCCGACGGCCGCCCGAGCAGCGGGACCCGCCTGCTTGGCTGCCACCGCATGGGCGACGCCCCGTTCATTGGTGGGCGGGGCGGCTATCGGGGGCCACTGAATGCCTTCGGCGGCCCTCGGTGGCCTTCGGCGACCATGGAAGTCAGTCGGCGGCTCACGGTGGCTTTTGGCATCGCGGGGAGTGACGAGGAGACGGGCGTCGTCGTCGTCGTTGTCGCCGCCGCCGCCGCCGCCGTCGTCGTCGTCGTCGTCGTCGTCGTCGTCGTCGTCGTCGTCGTTGCCTCTGCCGCAGCTGTTACTGTCGCTGTCGCCGCCGCTGTCGTGGTGTCGGTGGTGGTCTCCGTTTTTCATTGAGAGGAGGGGAGAACGATGGAGGAGCAGCCTCGACCTTCTTTGAAGCAGTGCTCGACACGCAATCCCGTTGGGTTTTTGGATCCCCTGGGCGGCACATGCTGGCAGTGCATATCCCCACCTGCCCTCGTCAGTTTGTCGTTACAATATGTTGTGGGGTGATACTGGTATCTAGTTTCGACGTGCAGGCTTTGATAGCTTCATCGATCTCTTCAAGTCGTCGCTGCATACTGGCCTTCGTCCCAGCCCGCCACCGTGCCTGGGTTGTGGGTATGAAGCCTGATGGATGTTCGTTGGGATCTCGTGGGAGGCTTCTCCGGGGCCTCGTGGCGGCAGTTTGGATGCCTCTGGGGGTTCCGTTTCGGGGCCTCTTGGGGCCTCTTTTGCTCTTCTTGGGGACCGCTTGGGGCCTCTTTTGCGTCTCTCGGGGGCCTCATAGGGGCCTCTTGGAGGCCTCTTGGGGGCCTTTTGGGGCCTCCTGGGCGCCTCTCGGGGCTTCCTGGGGGCTCCTTGGGGCAGAAGGCTTACATTTTCGGTTTGTGTTCCTTCTGTTCAGCCCCTTTCGGGGCTGTCTTGGGGCTCTCTTGGGCCGTTTTGAGCACCTCTTGGGCTGCTTGGGGCTCTGCCAGGCTGTTCTGGGGCCCTCTTGGAGGCCTCTTGGGCCGTTTTGGGGCGGCTTTGGGGGCCTTTAGGGCCGTCTGGGAGCGCCGGAACTTTAAATTAGGTTTAAGGAAAGGCTGTATAGCGAATGGTATATCCGACGCTGTCTTGGCCCAAGGCAGGGCTGTCCTTTATGCCAGGTGACTTTAAAGTGAGCTGGGGGACGTAAGGAGCGGAAGCGAGCGTGCGCCCGCGGCCGTCTTGGTTCAAGCGGCCGGCCGCCTAGATTTGACTGTGCCTCACCGCGAGGCACACTATCGCTATCGATACTAACAGGCATCCCCTTTTACGTGACATGGCTTCCCCTCTTGCATTGGGACTATCGTTATTACGATACAACCGAGTTGGAGCTTGGCTTCGCCTGAGGCGAAGCTGTTGGCGGGGCCTCCCAGCCCCCTTCAAACTTGGTAACGGAGTTGGCCTATGGTGGTCAGTTCTAGCTCTACTCCTCACCATCCACGGCACTCTCTGGTGGACTACAGTTACGGTGGAACATCAGGGTGCAGTGGCATTGCGCGGAGGAGTGTACATAGATACGCAGCATTGCAAGGAAACTTGCAGCGACACCTCTGCTCCAGCGGAGGTCTCTCACTCATACTCTACATCCCTGCGCTATTACACTCCTGAAGTCCACCCACCTACTCTAATCGGAAATTTCTTCGAAGATATAATGCATGGAAACATGCGATACGATATACTGCCGCCTCCGACCCCTCGCAGTTTTACGACGACAAAACACGAGTCTTCACCGACTGCACCGACTACGCCCGACTACGACCTACGAGGCCATTGGATTGGGGTTATTATCTTTGGGCTCATCTGGGTCGCTCTTGGATGTGGGGTGGGACATATGCGGGGCGGAGGCGACACTAGGACGACCGGCCCCCATTGGGATCCTGCCGGTCAGGTACCAGTTCGCGAGTTTGTCCGCGAGGTACACGCTTGGGCCAACGTGACCACAGGCAACATGACGCCCTCCCAACAGGCCGCCGCACTCCAGAGCGGTCTTGGAGGGCTCGCGCGGACCGAAGCCATGAGCGTTCCCCCAGCAGTCATCAATTCTGGCGTCAATATAGGTGGTCGCCACACCGATGGCGTTACTTACATTATGTTCCTCTTAAGTACGAAGTTCGAGAACCTAGAAGAGGAACGCCAACTCAACTCTGGCACGGCTCTCATTGACTTTCGTGTCCATGCGGGAGAAAGAACCGACCAGTCGTTAGCGCGGTTCGAGATAGCCCGCTACGAAGCAGAATCCGCCGGCTTCAACATCCCCAACTTCCAGATATTAGCAGTAATATTATTCAGAGCTCTGGAAGTGGTCGCGGGCGCAGCAGCTCCTGCAGCCTCTGAACCACCATCTGCCGAGGGGCCGAGCACGATTTGATGCTTTCCTCGAATGTATGAGGTCATATGCTCACATAGCTGTGAGAACCCCAGGCAGTATCGGTGGTATTTTTAGTCACGGTCATCGAACCGAGACCTTCCATACAGAGGCCAATGCAGGGCAACCTACTAACAACGTCTGGAGCGATGATATGCCGCCGTCTGAGACCACTACACTGTTGGCCCAGAATGGCGGTACGGCCTCGGGGTCTCAAGACCCCTGGGCCAGATCTAGGGGGCCACCCCGCGCGGTCTCCCCTGTACAAGCTATGGCCCGAATGGGCTCTGCGGGGTAACCCGCCGAGTCCGATTTCGACTCCGGTACCGACGCCGATGCGTCTTCTGATGTTGAAACTACTACGCTGGATTACTCTGATATGCTTACCTACCTTAATGAAGAACAGCAAGCCCAGTGGTTATTTTTTGGGCTATCAAAAACACAGGCGTTCATGGCGGAGAGTCACGCAGAAACCAGTCAGAAAGGCAATGCGTATGGTACGGCGAACACTCAAAGGAAAAGGCAAGGGTCGAAGTAAAGGCAAAGGTAAGCGTCGGCGACTACACGGTAGAGGCATACTAGCATTCCCAGCATCTCTCACTGGGCCTCAGTCGGAAGAAATGTTTCTAGGTGCTGGCAGGAACCGTAGGCATACGTCGGGTAAAGGTAAAGGACGACGAGGGAATCCAAAGGATGCCAACGGTAAAACTATGGAGTGCGACATATGCCCCAGTACACAACATTTCCGACGCGAATGCCACCAAGGCGATGGAAGGGGCAGGGGTCCGTCAATGCATTTGGCCCAAACGGACTCCGACATGCAGTGCGTCGACTGGGAGTCACTCTTGGCCGACCCTGCTGACGGCTCAGCCACAGTTATTCGTTTCGTGGCTGCCAGGTATTTGTGTGCCAGCACGAACCTCGAGAATTACTCCGACGAGCTGTTCGAAGAGGTCTTCACTGGCCACGGCGACATCGATTTGGCAGAGTGGCTGGGTATACCCATCGCGGGGCAACCTGCAGATATTGAGTTTGTCGAGAACTTCCACATGCCCGTCGAAGGTGACTTCGGTATGGCGGGGGCGCCCGCGGACTCTGAGTCTACCATTCCTGCAGCAGATGAAGAAGTTCATGCCGTGCTCTATCCTCTGGTGGAAGCCCGACAAACATGGGGTCGATCGATGATGACCCATTGCGGGGGAAGCCGCGAGACGCTGGCGACCTATCTGGACGTATTTAATACATGCTTGGACACAATGAAGAATTTCAGTACACTTTTGTTGCGTCAGATCGTTCTGCGAGCAGTCCGAGGCAATCGCCGCGCCGTGTGCCCTTCATGAGGAAAAAGAAATATCACGACGATCCAAGTCTTTCGCCAATGGACGACGGAGACGCACATGATGACCGCATGGTACGTCGCGGTCGAGCTCCTGGTTTTTCACCCGATCGCGCGCGAGCCCGCTCCAGTGGTGCTCGTTCGAGCGGTGTTGAGCGTCCTCGCCCTCCTGAGGCGGGAACTTCAAGTGGCCCGCCAGGGGGGGCGCCGAGAGCGCGTGCTCCCCCAAGGAGGGGGCGTCTGCGGAGAAATCCGCCTCAAGACGATCCGCATCAAGAAGAAGAACATCCAGAAGGCTAATTACAGCGTTTAAAGGTTTGGATCACACCTGGATTGGCTCGTCAGTACATGCCTGCAGCGACGATGCAATGCTGGTTGGATAGACATTGGATTGAACATCGAATCCGACACAGGTATTCTCTTCGCCAAGTTAAACGGAACGATGATGGTACTATCATTCGGTCAACGAAGGGACATACTAAAACGCAAGAAAAGGTTATCGTGCGTGATCACAAAAGGGCCATCATCGAGGATCGAATGGAGTACCGAGGCTTATGTTGCACATGTCCTAGTTATGCCGATCACAGGCTTGGCTGTCCCATGAGACGCCCATCGAGAAGTCAGAATTTCAGAAGATCACCGTGGGTTTGGTCACATGGAGATGGTCGGGACACTTGTACTGATCCCAACAGAACGCCATACCATAAGCGGATGACGGAAGAGAATTACCTTCCTGCTACAGCGACAGAAATTTAACAGACAAAGGCTATCTGGAATAGCTTGACACCTATTTATTTTCGGGTGCAGTTCAATCGTGCATGGCATGCAGGGAAACCTGCCGTGTACAAGCCAGAAGGAGATATCCAACCAGATGTTTATGACATTGAAGATGAAGATGCTGAAATGGCTGAACAGGTTGATCCTGCGGACGCCGCCCTTGGCGACGGTGAAGCAAGTGGTTCGGGTATGGCGGGCGCTACATGTGATTCTGATACTCCGATCGACCCCAAACACGTTGTCACAAGAGACACGGGTCTCTTTCCTGGCAGGCGCGTTGCTTACCGTGCCGAAGGCGTGGGCTGGATCGCTACTTGCATGGCCGAACGACGTAGTGCAGATAAGTATTTACTTGGTGGAAAAGGGAATCAACGCAAAGTTCCTATTAAGATTTGAATTCTGGCCGGGGCTCCATAAATCGTTGTCGCCGGTTTGCGCCTGGGAAATCACGGCGGGAGCTACGGCAAAGGCAGCGCGCAAACCGAAGCCAGAAATGATCGAACTTCCCTCGTCTTCTGATCTTGATTCTGGCTCAATAAGCCCATCTCTTGGTCCTGATCTT